TGAGTTTAGCAATTTCCACGCGCGTTCTCGCGCATTTAAAAATCTGGATTCTATAAGATCGACATTTGCTCATGATCTGTTTTAGCTACCGCTGACAATTGCATGTGCTCGCGCGAGCACCTACGATCTGATGTTTACAGACGTTTACTGCTAAGAAAATCATTAAACAGCCGTCAAAGACAGCCTCCCGAGCTCATCTTAAAAATCCTACACATGACTTCTGGCTATATCATATTATTTTCCTTGAAGTTTCAAAGTCTTCTTCCACTTCAGGTAGATTATCCTTCACTTGAGTTCTTCTTTTTTCGCCGTCGCAAGATTTCATATCGGTTGAATATTTCTTTTAAATGTGAAGTGAAGCAACCTTTACTTCTCCGAAAATCGTCTTCGTTATCTTAGTTTCTATCTCCTGCATTCACAGTGGCCGCTCAACACATCAAATACAAGCTCTTAGGTAAACTTCTCACAAAAGTAGAAAAAATTCCACGCGCCGCCATCTTTGTTTTGAATTTTCATCTTTTGATCTCGCGCTTCTTTCGCACGTTTCTCTCGCGCAAGTCACGCAAGAGTGACCTGTTCCCCGCGCGAGGAAACTGATACGAGCCACCTTAAAGCGCGCGTCAATAATTTTCCGTCCTAACGTGGGATTACATGATCGTCCCGTGAGTAACGTTCTACGCTCACAGAAAGAATTAAGGAAAAAAGAAAATGATCTGAGTGGTAAACGCTCAGCAACACCGCCTGTTAAACGTGAGAAACGGACAGGTGGTTAAAAGACCTGCCCCGAGTCTAGCGTGCGTGACTTCCAGTTTGCGTGCGAGGGCCTCATCGCCCTCGCGTGCTTTTCTAAATCACTCATGCGCGAGTGTAAATCGCTCACGCTTGGTCACGTTATATTGAGCTACCCAGGAAGCACGCAGCTTCGAAGAAGCATTTATCTAATGACAAAAATTCATAACGCAGATTTCAATTGATTTTCTCACGGACGGTTAACGTCCAAATATATTTTCGAACATTACCTTTGAAGTCTAAAGAGAATAAATGATGAAAAGTCAAGCTGGATTAGTTCATTGTATGACATTGTTATGTGCGCGTGTTGATATCAGCTAAAGCTGACTAGAAGTTGATGGAATAAGCGAAAAACCACTTTCATCAAAAGCGCCATCGCTTTAACATATCGATGTATCGTTAAATAAATGATTGGCATCCTTCCTCGTTAGCGCACTAAAGAAATCCTTTTACTGGATATGACGGTAGAGAGTTGAGTTTGGTTTCAATTCCGTATTATTGTGGTTACCTTGAGAATCTGTCTTCCGCTCTTTATATCAGTCTTCGGAGCTTCTAATTCTAACACTTTCCACGCTTAGCTAGTCTTTGATTTCTCTTCTTGTTAAGAGTCTGTTTCAACGTCTCGATTGACTCTCAAGAACAACATCATAAACAAAAACAAAAAAAGTGATCACAGCATACACTCTTACTAAAATACCGTTGAAGAATATCGAAATTTATTTTCCAGACAATGAAAGAGTTACCGTAATGACCGTTGCCGGGTTGCAAGTACAGAAAGGCAATTTCTGCAACTCGATCTACTATATAAGCAAAACTGCAATCGCCGAGGTGGATCTTCCAATATACAACTGGAAAGACTACATTTATGTAAAGAGGATATGTAATATGTATGTTCCATTCAATATTTACCTTGTTCAAAATCCATCACGACTTCGGGTGCCTTATCTCCTGAAAGTCTCGCATGTGAAACAAGCTACTGTTCAGAAATGATTTTCATATTTTGGATGAGGGTGATGATACTGAATGCTTCTGTCTTTTCCTTCAGCTGTCTGATCAGGACCAGGTTATATGCATTAAATCGGCTTGTTCCTGTCTAACCGGAAGCTGTGCGTTCGAAACATCTCTCTGCTCTTAGGATGTCACGTGCACTACAAGCGAACGATAATCCATTGGTTTAAATTCGGTAGCGCAGGAGAATTGAGATATTTTCGTTTGATTAATGAAACTATTTAACAAATTATCCACTTTGAAACAACAAGAAGCAAAAGCTAAACAAATCGGTTGATAATGAAATGAGAAAAAAAGAGACAAACAAAGACAACGAGGACACTTAACCCTGTTTAGCGTGGGATTTGTGACGGCCTCTTATAATCACTTGAAAGTCACATGGATGATGACCTAGGCGGAAATTGATGCAATTTTAGTCACAAACTCATAGGAATTGCTTACATCTATGTATTGCATTATCTCCAATATCACCCTACGTCTTGAATGAATCCTCGCAGAACTAGAGGATGGAAACTGAAGGTAACTTTCGTCATTGTCATTTTTAAATTTCGTTTGAGTTGTTGTATGTCATCTCGATACCTTACTAATAGAATCCTCATTGTAAAATGAATATTCACCGATTTTGTCTGAGAGCTGGTTTACCGGATTGACCCGATAAGATATCATCGGCTGCAGGAGAAAGGATTTAACCGGACGCTTTAATTTTTTCTTGTTTGGAGGCTGACTTACAGCTGTATGGGTTGGTAATGGCAAGATTAGCGAGGTTCCACCGGTAATACAAGATCCGCCAGCATCTTGAGCAAACAGCACTGGATCTATAAAGGCCTCGTTCATTTAAAATGTATATCTCGATAATTTTTGGGTTAATCAAAGGGAATATACTATTTTGATGAAGGCAATTAGCTTATCTTAACGTCATCAAAGTTTTGTAGCAGGAGCTTGGCCGAGATTTTTCAAAGGGAGGGGAGAGGGTCTTAAACTGTGTCAAATAGAGGCTACTCACCAGATTGTCATGATGACCCCCACGGCGTGTTTTACTCAATGTTGCAAAAAAAGGCTTACAACAAAGAGGGGGGGGGGGAATGACGGGCACCTCACGACCCCTCCCTAGCTACGCGCTTGATAGTAGTAGCTAGCTAGATTAGTAGTAGCACTAGACTGACATCCTCAGTACGGGAGAATAGGGATACTTCTTACTTCTTGGAAATAGGATATAAGGATAAGCTCCCGCTGCGCCTGCGTGGGCCACTGGGCTCTAGAAAAAACTTAAGGTGGCTCGTACCAGTTTCCTCGCGAGGGGAACAGAGCACTCTTGCGTCACGCGCGAGAGAAACGTGCGAAAGAAGCGCGAGATCGCGCGAGATTAAAAGACGAAAATTTAAAACAAAGATGGCGGCGCGAGGATTTTTTCCTACTTATCTGAGGAATTTACCTAAGAGCTTGTATTTGATGTGTTGAGCGGCCACNTTTTAAAAATCTTTGTGCATTTTCCTTTTCAAGTGCCAAAAGCAATCACTGAAAAAAATCAGGGGGTCACCGGGTTAGTTTTCGAATTATTTAAGCCACAAGCTAAAAAATGCGTCTGAATAAGCCTATGAAAGCGTTGCCATGGAAACTGCTAGTGACGAAATGACACCTATTTTTGGATAACCAATTATTATATAATTCAACCCCGTAAAAGTGTTCAACTGGCCTTGGTCAGTCTTTCTGTTGTATTCTTTCAAAGTTACAAACCATCAAAAAGATGAAAACCGGTACGAGCCACCTTAAACTGCTTTTTGCATCAAAGAAACTGAAATCAAAATGCTCAGTATAAAACAGGTAAACAGCTGTTCTATTTAAGGCCACTTATGATTTCCACTTACGTTATTAAGGATTGAATGGTCATAATGATAACAATTAAAAATAATAAAGAAAATTTGAACTGGTTACCTCCATCACATACATAATTTACAATGGGGCCCTGCACAAAAAAATTTTTTTGAGAGCTCGTCGAAATTTCGCTGTACGCAATGCGTAAGCAATAGGATTGGCCAGCGGATGTGCGAATATGAAAATATGGAATATCAAATGAGATTTCTCCGGAATACAGTCTTTACAGAATTCGATAATGTTTGCCAGCACTAATTCTGGAAGCCAACACAGGCAAAATAATCCAACAATGATGAATGCAGAACAAGCCACCTGTCTTTCCCTCCGTTTAAGTCTGTCTCTCCATTGGCCATTGTTTGTGAGGGGTTGTAGTTCGCTGCTCTGGTCAATTGTCCTTAAATCTCGGTTGAACTCTTTTCTGACCAGCAAGAAGATCCGTGTGTAACAGGCAAATAACAGAATCAATACAGGAATTCCAATTGCATCAGCGATAAATATTCTGTATTCGTGACAGGATGATTTTGCACCAAACACTGGCAGGAAGGTCAGCAGCCCAGCAAGTGTCCAAATTGAAAGGACCCCAACGGTGCGATAAGCGGTTGTTTGGTAATCCGCACTCCACGATGGTGATGATAGGACGAGAAGTCTTTCAACTGCCAGGCCCGATATTGTGAGAATCGAAGCGATAAAAACAAGATATAATGTAATGTATCCAGTCAAGACAATGATATTATACGTCAGTGTACCACGACCAGGAGACCAGATCAGAACAGCGAAAAGTAACTCGGCTGGAATGCCCACAAGAAGATCACAAACAGCCAAGTTTAATATGAGACAGTAAGCTGTTCCTTTGAGTTCCTTGAATGGATCCTTCCAGATTGTTATTATTACCAAGGAGTTTAACACCACTGTTAGAACCGAGAGAGACACGAGGCCTACTGCCTTAAGTGGGGTGACTTCGTCTGGTAACAAACATACACTTCTATTCAGAGCTGCGAATAACATAGATAGCTTTGGTTAGCAAGCTTCAAGGTGGAACAATGGTATGGATTCAAGTCAGCGATGAATTGAAAACACTGTAAGAAACTGAAACCTGATAAGGAATGATGTTGAAGTAAAGTAATCTAATTAGTTGCCTATCTCCTTATCTTATCTTATGCGCTCGTTAATATTTTTTCAATTATTGGAGGATCATAGCAACATAATGTGCTAACCTTCGACGACCAAACTTAAAAAAATCACCATCCGTTTCTTATGTATTTCAATTTTTTTGTTTGATGGACAAGTGATTGTATTAGTTTGCGGTTTGTTCTACTAATGATCATCTAGCTGGTCCCCTCCACTCGACTTTGCTTTTTATTTGAATGCGGATATATGTTGTAGTTCAATTTTGGTCTCATGGCGGCTTCTTTAGCGACATAGATATAATGATATGTTAGTAAAGACAATTGTGTGGAAGGACGGATTGAACAAACTGATCTTTATCTTGGCCTTTTTAGACCTGTAACTTCAGCCGAGAAAACATTGCCTCATAGACTTAAGATGATACATTTTAAGATCAGCCATGGATTAAAGAAAGCGTGGGGCACATAACAAATTATAGATAAAGATTCCCGTCAAGGAACCGAACCCCATATCTTTGGGTTTACCGGACCCACACGTAACTACTGAACAACACAAAATGAACCGGTTATATATTCACTTCATAAATAATACATAATGTGAGTAGATGAATATAAGTGAATAGTTTCCACACCTCCGTTTTTCAGTGTTTGACCCGTTTGAATTGAATTGGTGGAACGCGCGACACATTCGACTTTGTTGATTCTGGCAATGCCCATGCTAAGATATTTAAAAATTAAAACTACATACTATAACACTAAAGCTGTTTTCCGTGAATGCCGTGCGTTAGACTCAAAGAATGTCATTGATCTTCCGTTTGAATAACCCCAGAGACTCTGTGTTCCTTATATCGCGTGGTAAACTGTTCCATAATGTGGCGCCATTGTAGCTAAAGCTTTTTCTGTAATAATAAGTGCGCGGTAGTGGAACATTAAGCTTATTTTCAGAGTCCCTGAGGTCATAAGCAGAGTCACGCCACGTAAACTTTTAATATAGATACCTTGGAGCAACTTTATTGAGGTTAAAATCGTGAAATAGATAATACTTTTAGGGAATCAAAGTTCATCCTCCCACTTATTCGGAAATACAGTCGATTCTACTAGGACTGCTGTCCGATATCATCATTGAAAAGCTAACTTCAGAAACAAAAATTTTCTTCGATAGTAAATCACAAATGTATACTCAAAATGAAAAGCGATTGAACCTCACAGTGGCTCAGAATCCTCAGTCAGCTTGTTCTCTATATCCGAACATAAAGTTTTTAGGCTTTCATTTGCCGGCTTCGCCTTTAAAAATGTTGGGAGTCTTGCCGAGCTCCTGCCAATCTTGCCGAAGGATCAATGCCTGAATTCACATAGCGTATATTCAATGGGAGCGATTCAAGCCACTTCACAAATACATCAATATATCGAGCTCAGATATCTATCTTGGAACGCAGTTCTGAAATACACTGCGAGAACGGTAAAATAACATGAATATTTGCCAAATTGAACTAAGTTACCTTCAGACATCGCGAATACCAGCTGCTGTTCAGCAGATTAGCACAACACGGTTATTTTTAGTGATCAGCGATTCTCTCCGCCTCAATAATCCGTCGCAAAGCTGATAGATCTCACTAAGGTAAAGCTTGTTGCTCGTCTCCTTTTGTTTGACCGGAAGATGTCACGCGAGCTGAGAACGAATGGCAAATATGGAAACTCCACCAGTTTCAACCTAGTTTTGCAAAGGCAAACACATTGATGGTCAACTGAGAAAACAACTGGAACGTCTCAGGGCTTGAGAGCTCAATTTCCTAGAAATTTGTATTGATCTCGTTGGATTTGGGTCTTTCCCTTTTCGTCACATGAGTGATGACGCCTGCGGAAGTCGAATATAATTATAGCCAAACATCCTACGAATTTAGTGCCACTGAATTTCATTAAATTATCTAAAGAAAAATTCAAGTTTTGTTGCTTAAGATTTTCACCTCTTAAAAGTTATTTTCTGAATATATACCAAAAATGTAATGACAGAAAGCTACCTACCAAAGTATGCTATGATACACAACTTGGACTTTGCCTGCTTATAGAAGCCAGTTGACCTTGAAGTTTATTTTGCTTTTTCGCCTTTCTTCTCGATGCGGCGATCAACAGATTTGTATTGTCACGCAATTCCTGAAGAGGATCTTTAATGTCTCGTTTGCTCTCGCTGAGGTATAGTTGGTTTATAGCCAGTGTAAGGTAACAGTGCCTCAAAATTCGTGGATCCTGCAAATATTTCCGCCGATCTCTTAATTTCATCAGATTGTTTGATATTTCACGAAGTCTATTCTACAGTGCCAAACATAAAATTTTAGAGTACTTCATGTCGGCCTCAAAGTTTTGCAATTGTCACAGATATGAAAGTCTGGGATTTTTTCTAATTTCCAAGCTTTCAACCGATATGAGTAAAGCAATTGTAGAGAGAGGGAGTTGTACAGAACAAAATTGTCTAATGCTGGTCTCGATCGCATTTTCAAACAGGGATTTCGACGTCTTGCGGGTATAAGAATTTACCATTCGCCACCCTTAGTCACTACGAAACCTTGATTCATAGCTCTCTAAATTCCGCGTCGTCAGTCGATCTGTAACGGTATCCAACAACACATGGGTACCTACGCAATATCTCGATCCCATGGCTTAGGATGACAAGGACTGTTGACAATGCCTGAAAATATGGGTCATATTCTTGACTGGAAATACCTTGAAGTTAAACAGCTCGTGTTTTCCTTTCTGATTGCGCACGGGGAGGAGAGAGATCTCAGAGATTGCGCAAAATCTCCCGGTACTAACTTGGGTGAAGTTGAGATCCAATGGTTTCAAAAACAATTTGGAAATTACCCTTCCATCGGCACAATTCCGGCTTCCCTGAACCGCTGCGTTTAGGGAAAATTCTTTAATGATTGTAAAGAATAAGAAAGATGGTAAGTTTTGAGCCAGGTAAAGAATAGAAAGTTGTTTTTTCGCGGTAAGTCACGAGCGTGGGACGAAGAATAAAATTCTGAGTTCCCATGAGGAGACGAACCTCTGACCTATCGATTCCGCGCTCCAATTCTCTACTACTGATGAGTCATCGAGATTCTATGGTGACCAAGGCCCATTACGAAGTTCTTAATTCTATGACAAGCGTCCTGCATACTGCTAGGATCGGCAATGTGGATAAAGTCAATTTCGTAAGGAGCGCGGAATCGAAGGTCTGGGGTTCGTTTCCTCATGGGGACTCAGAAGTTTTTCTTTGTCCCACGTTCATGACTAGACGAAAAACAACCTTTTATAATCATTGTTTGAGTTATGGACTTGGTGTTCTCCTGATGGGGATAACGCTATAACATGAATAAATGAAAACTTTAATTGTGCGTGCTCTCCCAAGCAGCTGTGCATTATGACCCCGATGAACGAAATAGCACTAGAATTCTCATTACTTAGAGCCGGTTCATTTGCCCAACATCTTTACATTAAAATATCAAATAATAAATCTTCTCAAATTTATTATTGCATAAAAATTGTTTAAACTACTAGCCTGCTCAGCCTCGTATGTAGGACTGTTCCAAGTAAAAGCATGCACCTCTGTACCGAAAACTCTTTTTAAGGGCTTCAATGTTCAGTATTGGAATGAATAGATTTAGGCCAGAGCATTGTGCTGATGCCAACTCAAACTAGATGATTTTGAGATAGGTTTCGTGCAGCGCGTTCAGTGATTACCTTCATTTTGAAGTCGGTTGTACTGAAATACATCATTTATCAATTTAGTGAACATTGAAAAGGGCGTTCGTAGGGAAGGCGGCTTAACTGGTTTTGATCTCTCATGAAGAGAGCGTGAATTAAGCCTAATTCGGAAAGAAAAAAAAAGAAGAGGCCAAAGCCAAAACGAAGGATTAAACTCCATAGCCCATGGTTCAAAGTCCATAGTTCAAAGCTGGGGTAAGCTAACAAAGGGTTAGCGTGAAATCTGACTTCACATATGACGGATTTAGAAGAATTCAGTACAATTATTTTTTTTTTTTTACAATTTGGTGATTGAATGCTTTAAACAGAATAGATAAACTTATCCAAAAAAAAAAAAAGCTTTTGAATAAAGGAATAAAGAAACCCTGATTGAAATTGGGTTAGCGCTAATCGGCCTTTGAATAACTAGGCCCATAAAATTATATATTCTAACTACAAAGAGACAAAACGGACCTCTTTACGCTTTCAAGAATCTTTTTAACTTCGCGTCGGTAATGTGGCATTGTAAATGTGTACAAAACTGGATTGAGAGCGGAGTTTAACAGCATAAGTACAAATAAGCCATTTTCTAGGGTACCTGCCATTGACAGGCTGTCATAGAATAAACTGATGTGAATGGTGATAGCATAAGGAAGGTAACACATTACATATGCTCCAACAAATAGAAAGGTGGCTTTGGCAAATAAGTGTTCTCGTCTTTTTGCTGTAATGTACTCATGTCCAGGTTGCACGAGTGACTGTTGAATTCCTTGTATTAGAAGATGCTTGTTGAAATTTCGGATGATTATGAACATGCGCATGTACAAAATGATTATAACAAGTGTTACAAACTCACAAAGCACGCAATGAAACCATTCTGTCATATTCGCGTTTCCAAAAAGATTCGGAAAAAAGCCGAAAACTAAACCAAAAATCCAAATTAAAAAAATTCGGCGCTTCAAAGGTAAACCAGTAAACAGCTTCTCTCGCCATAGTGGCATCTGCAAGGAAAGGTATCTCTCTATTGTAAGAGAGAGGATTGTTCCACTTGAAAGGCAAAGTGCTGAGGTGAGCACCATTCCAACTGCGGTCATCAAAGTATACGCTAACTCCTCATGAACATCTTTCGGCACCGAATAGCTGATCATTAAAAGTAATTCACCCAAGAGACCGATCATCAAATCAGCAACAGCAAGGTTCACCACGAGATAGTTGGAAACGGTCCTTTGTTCGCTGCGCGGGTTCCTATAAATAGTCACAATAACCAGGAGGTTTCCTATTGTGGTCAATATGGACATTATGGCAAGGACAACTTGAAGTAATGTATTGATGATGCATATCCTTCCTATCAGTATATTGGAAAGGCTTTCATTGCTTGGTGTCATCTTTGAAGTTGATATTGAAATTGACTTCCCTGCAAGAGAGATCCAAAACGTAAGTGATTTGCTGTGCAGCTCAAAAGACATGAACGTAATATCAAGTAAATGATTTCGTGGTTTCCTTTAATTATATGCTTTTTTATCTTTCAGATACCTTCAGCTTAAGGCAGCAATTTCAAACTTAGATCATCGAAGTGTCTCTTTTAACAATGCCATGGTTAACAGTAACAGTGGTTTTTTTTATTCAATGATGCATTGAATAATATTCTATTTGTGTCGACTGTCGTCAGTATTTGATAAAAAATATAATACGAACTCCACTGATGAAAGGAAACTACTTTGTCATGTATTTGTATATCAAAACATGTTACGTCACGAACGTTTTAGACGCTTTCAGACTCAAACTGTCAAAAATAAAAAAAACAAAAACAAAAACACAAAGATGCTTATTCTAAGTTGCGAAAAAAAAAACAGTAATTATTAAAAACGAAGATATTTGCTGCGTCTGACACAATCCCCTCAACTGTCGTTAAGACTTTCACTTCCACTTCCAACTCAGAGAGTTTAAGATTCAAAATCATTATTGAAAAAGCCTAGAGTAAAATTTAGCTTTGCTTTTTTATAAAGTGAACTTCTGACTGACCCACAGAAAGAACTGATTGCATGAGATATCATATGCCTGATTTGAGCTATTTTATTCACTAGCACGACACAAATAACATGGCATCGTTGATCCATAAGCTGACAATAACACAACAAAATTGGACAGAATATTGAAGAATTTATTCATTCTCTTACCCTCAGAAACTTCTAAGAATGCGTAGACTGGTTATACTGTAGACACTTTGTGTAATCGGGCCGTTTGATCGGTGTCTACCTCTCCTGTCTGCAGGCTACTAAGTCACGATCACCGGCACTACATATCTACTGGTTTGTTCCTGTTTACAAATCGCCAAGCCCTTGGCACGTGCTGGTCATAAATGCATGTGACTGAGGTATCGACTCGTTTCCACCCAGAAATTCTTGGACCATATAAAATGATGCAAAGGTTACCAGTACATGTTTAGTGCGCGTAGGATGTGGGATTTCCCCTATGGTGCACCTATGAATTACAAAGATGGTGACCTGACCGGAAGTCCATAAGAATTTGTAGATCATGAAAGACTACGCGTGAACTTCCTGTCGCTAAGGCTCCCCTTCGACGAATTTACTCTAATTTGCAGCATGATGTAAAGAATGAAGTTCAGATTCCTTACCTAATGGTTTTCGCTCGTTCGAATTGCAACAATCTGGGTGTTAAATAATAATCAAAACCTGTAACAGCATAGTTTTCGTCGGTTGTTTTTCTTCGAGGATAACGTCACTTGCTTCACGCGGGTTTACAGAGCAACAAAACATGTTCTGATGTTCTTGCGTATTCTTCGTAAACGAGCGCTCAGCGTTTCGTAGGCATCAGCATTTAGAAATCATCTTGGATTTTGGTTGAAGATTGAAAAGAAAGAAACTCGTACTTTCCGGGACTTAAAACACAGGAAATTATTTGATAGGCCGCTGGCCCGTGATATTTACTGAGTCAACATCGGTCATGCAAAGGCCTTAGTGACAGTAACAATGCACAACGGTCATAAAGATTACAATTTTAGATCGTTAGGGATTACGGAATTTATGATACAAAGCAAAAAAATGCAGGTCAAGACTGTATGTGCCTACTGTAGTATAGTTGTAGAGTACTGCAGTAAAAGAGGAATGTGTTGTGAAATGCAGAGGGCCGGGTCAGAATGAACAGCTCTTGTTAATGCCTAAATTGCTATGTTAAACATGTTCGGAGTAAATCACATACGTGAGAACGTTTGGTGGCGTAGCTTTCACATTCACATCGATAACAAGTCGAAATGCAGAGGTGATACCCTGAACAAACGTCGAACTAAACCCGAACAAAAAGTGAATCCGAAGAAGGCCGATCAGATTCGTTCAAACATGGCCAGAGTCGGAGCTGAGCCAGGTCAAAAGAGTCGTTACATTTGAGCCATCTACACTTTTTTGCTGTTTATACGCATACCTTGGCATTATGGCGCATGCTTGAGAATGGTAGGTAAACTTTCAAAATGGCGACCACAGTTCTTAGGTACAGGTCAAAGCAACGTGGACGAATGAACAAGTAAATAAATTAATAAAGGAGATAAGTTTCACCGTCATGCTGCGAAGGTGGGGGTAACAAGGTAAATTGATTTATCAACTGAGTTGATAATGCATGTAAATTGGCCCCCGTAAAGAGCTTCAAAGCTGACGCTTTGAGCATTAACCCTCAGTCAGAGGGAACAGCTGACGCTCTTTACGGGGGCTAATTTGCAATATCAACTCAGTTTATAAGACCTGAATAAACTAATAGACTCAGTTTGGTCAGAGTAACCAAAATAGTTCAGCCTCAACAAAACAAAAACGCCCAAGGAGAAAACACACGCCAGAACCACCTCTCTTTTGGCCTTGCTCGTAAACGTCTCATCATCCCCTTGAGCTAAAATTAGTCCATTTTGATGCAGTTTTCGCTTCGAACAAATTTTTTCGTCATATTATGCGGTATTTGGAAAGAAAGAGAACCGGTGACACAATGGTGGGTTCAATGTTGTCTAAATAATTAATGCTCACGCTCGTTCCCAGATTACCATCCTTGCGTGTAA